AATTTATAATTAAAACATGAGGTGGCATATTTTTGTTCCTGCGTTAGTGTCTCATTAGTGGAAATGAGTCAGTGATGTCTTTGGCTCACAAAACACTTAAATATGCTGTTTTAGAAATGTCCAGATAATGTTAATGAAGTTGACAGGAAACAGCGGATAACAGATAAATGGCATTCAAAGATCTGAAGATCTCCAAACAAAATGTTATTGATGTAAATAATTTAGTGATACTGACTCAGCTGCAGATATATACATGCTCATATCAATGAGTATATTAATCTCTGGGTTTTAAAGATGTTTGAAATATTGTTTTTTACATAAAATCGTACACGTAAAAAACATGAGTGATATTGTAAAATTTTATCCCCCCCCAGCGCTAACATTACATGGATAAGTCTATATTGTGTTTTTTTTTTGTTTTTTTTATCCAAGTCAAATGCATACTTACGCACTGACTAACATTTAGACAAAGATCATACTTGCGAGTAAATTCAATATTACGTTTTTCTAATGCTCTGACGTTAGGAAAGTTGAACATTTCTAAACCTTAAAAACCTGGTTATAATAGGAAACCAACCAATTAAAACGAAACTTCATCAGTTCTGCCAAACGCAATGGCCAAAGTTTGAACCAAAATTATGCCAGCAGCTTCTTGAAGTAAAGTAGTAAAGGCTTAGGTTGGAAACCTTTAATCTATGCTTTGTTAAAAAATATTTCCCCAGTGGAGATTTCTTCCCATTTTTTTTTGTCATACTTCAGTGATATATATTACTCCCTTAGCAAATTATATCCAAGCAAAAAATAATCAGATTTTCTGGAAAATAGAGAAAACTGGACAGTGGTGGACCTTTCCAGGATTTGTCAATTTAACAAAATTACTCACTGGGTTATGTTCTGAAATAACCCAGAACATTTGTAGCACTGTGGGCCTCATTCTAATCATTAAAGCCTAATGTTCATGATACAACATTAAGGGAGCAGGCAAAAATGTCTCCAAAACCTCTGGTTAGCTTAAAGAATGCAAAAAAGTCCATCTAACAGTTGTCAAGATTTTACTTTACCTTAAAATGTCAAAAGAAACTTTGAAAACATTTATGTTTTCTGAGGTTACGGTGCCTTCATGTGGCTCTAAAATCTGTTTGATCTGAAACTGTAAAAATACCAAAAAAAATAAATAAATAAAAATCCTGAAGAAATCTGAAATCTGCAAGGGAGCAAATACCTTTTTCACTGAACTACATACATTCGGCAGCATGTTGCTTTTCTACAATTTTGATTCTGTTCTGAGAATTTGGACAAATGCAAAACAAAACTTGACAAAAGACAAAAGTTGTATCTCAAAACTTTATACCTATCAAAGTTGCTTATCTTCACAGTAACAGACTCGGGTATGACTAGCAGCTGTTTCTTATAAAACGCTGATGTTCAGTTGATTACGCGGCATCACAGCAAGATGCAGAGGGTCATGATCACAGTTGGTTATAGGGTACATTAGGCTTTCATTTACAAGGCGCTAGAAAAAAAAAAAATTACATCATAAAATTAATGCAAGTAAAGCAGCCAACAGATGCGGCAGCCTGCTGGCGCTCCACACAACACTACACACAAACACTGAGAACAGCAGGAAATACACTTTATAATTGCACATTATCTTTGCTGAGTCAGTTTTTCATGCTTCACATTGTTATTACACAGAGTACAGCTTTTGTCACACTCCAGAAAACATTCTATTAAAGCAACAATGGCTATAAGAGTTTCAAATTGTGAGCGCAGGGGCTAAAACACAGAAGCTGAAAAACTAGACGGAACCAAATTATTGCATTGGGTTCATTTCCCGGTTCCTCGCACTGGACAGATGGACAACAATGATTGAAATTGATCACATGACCGTTTCCAGCGGGAGACTTTCAATCCAGTAAGTTAAACGTTCAAAACATTAGACAAGAATAAATAATGTGCCAGTTGATTCAGACCCTTCAAGCCAACTCTGGACTCTCTGCTTTCAGCTCGTCCTCAGAGTTCTCCTCTTTCTTTTCCAGGGCAAAGTTCTGTGAAGGGTATGTGACAGAAAGATTCAATCTGATATTTATTTTTTGCACTGTTAATTCCTACAACTAGATTAGCAAATGCCTTCATGTAAAAATACATTTAAAAAGGCAATTGATGGAAATTTCCAAGTCTTTGGTAGGAATCTGAAAAAAAGTATCTGAGCAGGACAACAGACAGCCATACCTCCAATTCTTCCAACACTTCATCCATGAAGTCACTGGGGTTTTGTTTGTAGTCCACTGCTCTGTTGATCATCTCTCTGAACATCTGATGGGACAGTTAACGACAGGAGAGTCATTGAGAAGTTCAAGTTTAGACCCAAGTTAAATTTCAGCAAATCTAGGATTTGAATTTAAGACCTAAGTGAATTAGGCAAAATGACTAACTTCTTTGCTTTATATTTAACTGTCTTTATATCTCAAGCAAGTTGAATATAGCTTTGTAAACTTGAAGTGCTTAAATTTATTGGATTTTTACCCCGACCTTCTAAACATCAGCCCTTACTGCCATACAGTAAGGTTCAAAACTGAATTAAAAACAAGTTTACGGCAAGATTATGTCTTCTCTAATTAAGACAATAAAGAGTTAGATCCTGATATGTCAACATTTCTTTCTGGTTTAATTTAAGATATTTTAAAGCCTACAATTAGATTTATTGAATCCGTTTGGAGACCATCCACAAACCATGAAGTAACACAGATTGGTAACAGTTTTAATTATTTGTACTATTATTACAGACTAAATGGAATACTGTTATTCTGTCCATTAATGTTAAAACTGCTACAAAATGAAGAGCAAACTGCTAAGAAAACAACAAAGCCAAACCTTTACTACATTGGTTCCATCCGCTGCTGAGACGAAGTAAAACGGAAGCCCCTGTTTCTTCGCAAAGCTAAAACTTCTCTGTGTGACCTTCAAGTCAGCTGCAGATGAAAGAAAGAAACACCACTTTAATCTAATAATCATTTTCCTAATCAAGAAGAAAAACCTCTTTTACAAGTTAGACAAAGCAGTACCACAAATTACACTTCATTTATTGTAGCAGCTGAAAAATAATTGTGAGTTTTAATGTCACAACCAGACTTACCATCGATTTTGTTAGCTACCACACAACAGGGAATCTCAGGTCTGTACTCTCTTAGCTCTTTATACCAGTTGGCTAAGTTTTTGTATGTGATCTTCCTTTGAACATCAAAAACCTGAGAGGAAAAACAATGAAACAACTTTCAGTTAAACAAGTAAAAATGTGTATCCAGACAGTGTAAACCATCCAGTGGAAGTAGCGATCATGCAGTTTCACAAGAAACATTGTTGGAAATGAAAAAAATCTATATCTTAATGGAAAGTATTCACCTAACAATGTGTCTTTTACACTCATTTGGAAATGGAAATGTTCCCTGAAGATCTCCGATTATAAATCTGACCATTTCAGTCTTCCTTGATCATTTTTTACAACCCCTTCTGTCTGTATTATTTTTTAAGAAAATGTTCCTAGAGTCTATGCAGTGTTCTCACATTTATCTCAGTCGTTTTGCTGCAGCCGTACAGAATGAATTTGAAGGAGGAATGATTACAATCAAATGAGGACAAAACAAGAAAAGTAGAAATGAACAAAGTAACTGTGATCAATTGGCTGACGTTAACAGAGCTCTGTGCACATGCAAATCTCCTGAATTCACATTAAATTACGACTTAAAAACAAATCAGCAAATATTATGAAACGTTATTGATTGATTTTGTTTTTTATGGTTTCAAAAAAGCAACTGTGTCTTACCATGATGCATGCATGAGCTTTGTGATAGTATGAAGGATGCATGCTCTGAAATCTCTCTTGACCAGCTGTGTCCCAGAAATCTGTGGATCACAATCAGGAACCACTCTTGAATGCAGCGTGTGATGATTTTCATCTGGGTAAAACTAATGTAACAAGAGCAAAAACACTCACCGACTGTAACAGTCTTGTTTCCTACATTCGCTGTGTGTTTGTACAAAGTCAGCGCATATGTGGACAGCTGCTGTGGACGACTGCGCGAAGAGTGTTAAAGATCCTAAATAATCTCGACCATAAACATTTAAATTTAAAACGCACAAAGCAACGTAAGGATACAACTCGTCCATAAGAAACCGCTCCATCAGCCTGTGAGGAAAAGACAGAATCGTTGTTTCATGTGATCAGGCAGCCAGGAAGAAAGCAGGTTAATGCGTTATTTGAGCTGAGACTCACTTTGATTTACCCACAGCGCTGTCTCCCAGGCAGATGATCTTCACTTGTTCGCGTGCATCGTATTTCTTTTGGTCTAGTTCAGGGATGCAGCCAATGTGATCAGCCATTTCCCCCCCCTGATTTCTCAGCAATGTGTCGTGTTAAAGAGGACTTGAGAACCACCAGGTGAATCTCCTCGGTCAGAGTTAATATAGAACCGCTAGTTAGCCTGCCATCAGCAGCCAGCTAGCTTCTTTAGCCGATTACTCAACTGCTGCAACAGTGTTTATTTTGCCATATTAGAACAACACCTAAACTGACGAGAGCACGGTTACCGTTACTGGCTTCATGCTCAGGCTTGTAATGAGTTTTCGGACATTACGTTTCATTGGTCATCCCTGTTAAAGATGTAACAACTCCGCTAATTACAACCTAGAGAATAAACAATGACTGAGCTTATTAAAACGGCTGTTGTTTACCGCAGAAGAGATTCTGGTCCAATTTCTGAGAGGAAACTGTTCGGTGAACGCACGACGTCCCGGACTATTTTCGTTTCTATGCAACAGGGACGCACACAGGACCACTGATCTCTGTTAAGCTGTCCTTGCAAATGCCTGTCTGAAAATGAAAATCCACTAAATTCAATTAGATTTCATTCATTCATTCATTCATTCATTCATTCATTCATTCATTCATTCATTCATTCATATACTTTTAGACAGAGTACAGTGTTTTTTAGGGACTCACGCACAGTTTTATTTGGGAACCAATAAACAAAACAATCAACAGAACAACAAAAAAGAAGAAAATTGTAACTAAAAAGACTTAATTAAATTTAGAAGTAAGCTTATTGCTAACGAACCTGACAAAGTGAGATATATAAACAGTATTAGAATACTTAACGATAAGTTTTCTAATAAGTGCTTTTGAAGTGCCCGTGCACTCCAAAGCAAACATTTGCTTAGCATAGATTTCTTGTACTTTTTTCCTGGTAAAATTGTGGGGGGAAAAAAAAAAACAAAAAAAAACATCCAGTAGAGTTTTTGGAAAAAAACAAGAACCAGGATTCAAAGACAATCACGAAGCATTATTTCCTGATTTCCTTTTGTTCATTAAATATCTTTAAAACTAAAATTTTAAATCCATCCAAAATAAATGTAATTTGTTGGTATTTTGAAGAAAACATCCGTCTGATAATTTAATATTAAAGTATGAACAGCATGACAGGCAAATATGATCAAACATGATCTCAAGAGTTGTGATTTGTTTTTTCTTTTATCTAAAGCCAGCTTTCTTCCTTTATTCATCTGCGTTTGTAATGAGGGGTGCAATGTATTGTGAATGACGGAATCCAAAGGTGAAACTGGGAGCTTTTGCTCTTGTAAAGGTGACCTAGGATGAAAACGATATATATTTTAACAAGTATAACACCTGGAGCCTGTTCTTATAAAAATAGGATGTTTCTTACACGCTCAGGATAGTGTGCTCCTGGGCCGGGTTTTCTTGTGTTTTCCTCAGGAGCAAAGTTGCGTCCCTTTATACTGTACTGTGGAGGTTTCTGCCTATATATAGAGGGATCCACAACTTTATAGGCTGCAGGGCCTGGAGACGGAGTCTGGAGGAAAAGTCACAGGACAGAAATATCAGTATTTCAAGGTTTTTTGTGGGTTTTGTTAGGTCTTATGTAGGGACCAAGTATTCTTTGTAAACCTTGTTAGGGTCTTCGTGGAAGCTTCCAATTTTACCGCGGCCTTGAAGTGTGTAGTTGGGTGCTGAAGGTGCAACTGCAGTTTTACAGCCCAGCATGGGAGGCAGAGTGTAGGTGGCTGGACCTGCAGTATTAGTAAGATATATATATTTTTTTTATCTGCCTTCTGAGGTGAACCTACTTCTATACACCATAATATAAATACTACCTGGCATTTGGGTGTTAATGCGATCTCTTCTCCTCCCATACAGGGAATAAGCAGGAGCTGAACGGATGGTCATCTTTCCAGAACGCTCTGGGGAATATTGGCCTATAAGACGCCAAGGAAAATGAGAAACAGACCCAGATGAAAGATAAGTTTGTTGTATATTGCTAATGTCAGTACATGTGTGCATTTCCGAAACACATTTCTAAAACAGCTCCACTGACCTGGTCCGGGCACATGGGACATTTGAAGCTGCTTCGGTCGGCCGAGAAGAGAAAATGCAGGCATTTTACTTCTGCCTTTCATGGTCATGTTGGAAGGGATCAGATATCTTGGACCAGGAGAGCAGTTTGTATTCGCTTCCTCATGACGAGCACCAAAGGAGAACATTGGTGCTTTATATTTGGTAGGATCATGCTGAGAAGCACCTTTTCAGACCAGAGGCAGTTATGTTACCTTCATACGTATCAATAATACATCTACTGATAGAATATTCAATTTTGCTCCCACCTATAAGCCCAGGAAGGGAATATTTGGGCCCTGGGCTCCCATAGAGAGCAGCTATAGGCCCCCTTGGTCTGTGAGGCCTCCAAGATCCAACCCAAAGCTCATCACTTGGCATTGCTTTGAGAAAACTGATTAGCATTTGAGTTATAAAAAAAGACGTTCAGTCAGAAATTTGCTTTATTTTCTCTCAGAGTATTTGCCACTCTATAATGTTCTCCTGTTTTCAATATTAGCTACATACATATTCAGTTAGCACAAAGTTTATTCTATATCACAAGTCAAGATTATTGAAGTCTAGACTTTGACTAAACCCTTCTGAGAAACTTAAAAAGAACAAAAGCAATAGTCCATCAGACTGCCCTGCAATTTCTGGCTGTTGGTATGACGTTCTTTTCCTGAAATTTTGTGTTAGTTTTACACCAGATAGAACAACATGCATACCATCCATAAAGTTCTCATGGCTTCCTGGCCATGTGGCCTGGCAGAGATTTAAGCAGGAGCTAAAAAAAGCCCATGAGGAGGATTAGCAGTGTTTGCCATAGCTGGTGCCATCCATGACATGTAAGCTGTGAAATATCGTCTCTGCTGCCAGGATATTCAGCTGTTAGCATGTCATGACAGTCAAAACACTGTCATATAGCAACAGTCTTCAGTCAGAGTTTCCTTCAACTTCATTGCAAGACTGATTGCTACTGGAAATCCTTTCTCCCCACAGCTTCACCACAAAGACTCTTTAAATATATTTGGATGATGTGAGTAGAATATTTACTTTCCCATCTGGAATAAACAGTGTAGTTGAATTACATGAATGTACAGTGAAATTTGCTACAGATTTACATAAGTCTTTTATTCCCCATTTTCAACATAATGAGATTCAAATGGAAATTCTGGAAATTCACTTATGAAATGACTAGAAAACACAAAAAACAGTGAACAACTACTGTAAAAAGAAAATCAAACACCACCGCAACATTGCACAAATTGAAAACAACATTTTATTGCAGGTACTAAATTTCATAAACAGATGGATGACTTTACCTGATAAATTTCCCCGTCCAGTTGCGAGTGTGTGTTTCATACTTTATCCTGAACCTCGGCAGGTCCAGTGAACCCAAACACAGATTGTGTATTTCTCTGCATTGCTGCTATGGCAACATTGTCATGGAAAGGACTCTTGCAGTCGCGTTCAATATGTGTTTAGAGTTTTCTTCTTTTTTTTTCTAGAAGTGCGGAGGAAGTCAGGGATGTGAAAAGAAAAACATTCAAAATGCAGATCCTGTAAATGATTTATTAGTTATGAAAGGCTGGGCCGCCTCTGTGGATGCACTGCTTGGATTTGGCTTTGACTTGGGTTTACCATTTAAAGAAAATATTAACTGACTTCACTTTAACAGCCAGAAATGTTGTTTTGTTTCTTAATGCAAGAAGCTGGTATAAATGATCGCATTAATTTTGTCAGTTATGCTTTTGTTTAATTCATGACTGTAACAGTGACATCACAGAAATGAAGGAGCCACAAAGTTCTGATATCACATTTTTATTCATATGTTTTATGGAAATATTTTGAATCCAATTACTTAACTAACAATTTCAGGGAAATCTTTGAAGTCCATTCAGTTGTCTTGTGTTTGTTTTTATTTAAACTCCTCAAAGTGTAGCATTGATGCTGCAGGCCCTCTTGATTTTTCTGTGCATACTGAAAGTTTCTCTCAAACTGGCCTGGAGGACTTTCATCAAGGGACCAAGGATTCCAATTTTCTCTTGAGGACTCTGTTGGGTAGAAAAAAATAATACAGTTAGTTTTAAAGCATTAACATTAAGGTAAACATCTTAACTCTGAGGTTGTTTTACCCTTGTAAGTGTACAAATGAGCCGTCGGAGGATGGCATCCTCTCTGTGTGGACACAGGCTGATCACTGTACTCACACAACTCAGCAGGCAATAAATTGTATGTCTCTGTGGCTGTAAATATCGGGGAAAAAATAGGGAAGACAGGCAATGTTAATTTTTATGATGTTGAAATGATAGAGAAATTAATATTGGACATCCACACTGAGAACATTTTTTCTGAAAATATGTTTTGGTACTTGCCTTCTTTAGAATGCTGAGAGGCTTTCTGTTGTTTCCTACTTTTAACCTTTCTACATCCTCACTGCTCAGAACAGGATCCTAGATCAGAGACACAGAGGTAAATATAAACTAGGGTTCTAAAAAGGAATGGACAGTGTGGAAATTTTTTTTTTTTTTTTTTTTTTTTTTTTAAAAAAACTGACCCTTAACTTCTCCAACCAGGTCCACAAGAGACAACAAAGGACCTGAGGATCTGTCTCAGTGACAAGCAGGGCCCATCCACAATCACTGCTGTTCAGTTCCTCCTTCAGAAAGCATGGGAGTTAATACAAGTGATGTAATTATATGAGAGACGTGGAGAACTCTTATTTGTACCTGCAGCAGAGCCGATCTCTGTAGAACGGTCTCACCTGGAGGACCTTGATCTGCCATTGCTTTGGCTACCTGTCGGGCAATCAAGGTTGGGCCAGGGGTCTGTAGATTTCTGTACAACTTTATGTGAGAGAGAAGAGAATTTTTGCTGCATTTTGAACAAACATATCACTTTTCCTTTAAGGAAAAAAAAAATACTGTACCTCCTGGCTGGAGCTGCATTTCAGGATTTCCTTTTTAGCTGAGCTTTTTGGCATTTTTGTGCAGCTGCTGCTTGTTTTTATGTTTGTCGCTGCAGTGTTGAGCATGTGGAACTCCTTTCTGAGATATAGTTGCCCAAATGAAAATGTGCCAAAGACTGGACTAACTGGTCTGAGATCAGCATGTAGGAGATCCTGTAAGCACCAGTGCTTCTCATCTCCGAGAGCAGCGGTGCAGTACGAGCTCAGTTCCTGGTCCTTCAAGAGAGAAGGCATAACAGTGAGTATCACCTCCGCAGCCGGCTCAAAACTATTAAAATATTTACAATTGCGAATGCGTTTCACCTCATACACTATGATCTTAGTAACGTCAGATTCACTGTAGCTACGTTTGTCCAGCAACACCTCGCGCTTCCTCTCTAAGAACCCCAGAGGCTCGTCCCAGGAGGACACTGACCCTGAGCCGGCCCACGAGCCTTTACGGCCTTCGCTCAACAAAGGCAAATACTGCTTGGACACAAGAGTCTCTCTCACAGCCCTGCTCAGAACCCTCAGAGCTGATCTCTTCTCCAGTTCAGCGTGGACCTCCGGAGGAGAGGCCAGACCCAGAGCCAGGCAGGAGAGCCGCACACACAGGAGGTACACCACCTGATCAAATGGGGTCAGAAAGGATGTCCAGGTTAACTGTGACACAGTGCAGCGATGTCTGATTGTAGAAAGACCAGCGAAGTGTCACGGCTCAACCTTGGGAGTGTGTCTGAGTCTGCGTGCCTCCTGCCCGTGAAGCAGCAGAGCTTGTCGGTTTAAGTAGTGCTGGAGGGTGAAAGGGGCCCCGTGCCGCAGGCTGAGGTCTGGGTACTGAGTGAGTTGCGTGCCGAGCAGGCGGGCAAAGTCAAACACCTGGTTTATCTGTGACCGGGTCTGGATAGAACGAGGCCTTTTAATGCGCACGTAGTGAACCGCTTCGCTGGGGCTTATGCGCAGGGTGTAGACGAGGTAACAAGCTATCAGGACGCCTTTTAAAGAGCAAGAAGAGAACAGCAACAAACACCCAAGAACTCTGAGCATCAAATAGTGTCATGCAAAAGTATTAATACCATTTAAACGTTTGCCCATTTTGTCACAGTAAAACAACAAAACTCAATTTGGTGATGTTAGGATTTTATTATCCTGGTAAAAATAAAAACAATAAAAAATAAAGGCATGAGAATACTTTTGCAAGGCATTGAACGTGAAAACCAAATGCAATATTTAATCTTGCCTGTCCTGCCCAGGCCTGCGTGACAGTGAACGGCTACACGTCCTTCTTTCACAGCAAAGGCCAAAACCTTCACCCCGTCGATGATCCCAACAAGAGACGACACACCGAAGTCTGGCATCCCAAAGTTGTAAAAGTAGACTGAAAATGAATAGATTAAAATAGGATTGCAGGGCTGCCTCGTGTTTAATAAAGAGTCATTTGATTTGAATTTATCCCTGGCTGCTGTTGGGGGGTGGAGGCGGAGCATTGCAGAATATCATATAAAGTCTAATAATATCTTTTCCCCAGTGTAACACAATAACAACTTGCTCTGCTGCTTTCGCTTTTTCCTGCTAATGTAATGTATGCCTCAAAATAAGCGTATTAGCTTCTCACTTTTATTGTCCATGAAGGTCTGCGGAGAGTAAGTGAAACCACTGTCAAGGTCTAGAGGAGGCCCACAGTGAGCATGCTCCCCGGGGAGCTGCATGTTGATGATGGACCTGATCTTCAACCTGCAAACAAAGAAGCCAGTCGAGTCGTTTTGTATGTGTCTTAATGGATTTTGAGACAAAAATGTGAGTCAAGCGATTACCTTTGAAATTGCTCTATGATGTTGTACTTCTTGATGAGCTGATTGGATGGACGAGCCATTGCTATTATGTCATCGGTCACCCTGGAACAGTTGGGGATTCACAACAGACAAACTATCCTTTATTTTATATTCTGCACCATAATCTTTGAGACTGCAGTCACATCTTCTCACCAGGAGGAGAAAAGGCCTCGAATGACTTGCTGGTTCGATTTCCAGCATTCTGGTCCCTCATAGCGACAGTCTTTTCCTCCACAGGCCAGCAGACAGAGGAGCTTGGGTGGGATGGCTCTCACCAGGTTCTCCCTGGCCTGAGAGTAGGACGGCCTTGGAACTGGTACATGTGGGCTGAAACTTGGCATCATCCTGCGAACACAGACCTGGCCCTGAATTTTGAGCCCCGATTTACAGCACGCCATATAACGGCAATTTACAAGAGAAAAGTAATTTCAGTCCAATCATAAATGCATTCCAATTGTCCCTATTAGGCAGTGCATCAAGTTCAGTTTGGTTTACAAGTTTTCTGTTTAAGAAAACCCAGTAGATTACATCAATTCGTTAATTTCCAGCAATTCCTCATACCGAGCATGAATGAGGTTGAAGAAGACAGAAAACCCATGGGAAGGCCAATTTACATTTTTGCAAACTAACAATAAATTCACCCTAAAAGTTTCATCTCCATGATAGAACAGTGGTGGTAGAATGTGATGATACTTTATCTCAGCAGGGCCAGTTGATCAGTGGAAAGCTGAATGGCGATAAATGCAGGACAATCCTTGTTTACAACCTGCTAGAAGATGCAAAAGCCGTGCCTCAAGCGAGGTGAATAAAACTTCAAGTCATTTCACTTTACAATCATGTGCCATGTTGTGTTGGTCCATCACATAAAGTCCTAATCAAATACTTTGATGTTTGCTGCTCTAATCTGACAAAACATGAAAGGGTTCAAGGGATACGAGCCCTAAAATAAACCCAACAAACATTCAAAATGATCTGACAGCTCATATAATAATCACTTTGATGGCTTACCTTAGTTGTTACGATGAACACTACAGCTGTTAATCCCATTTAATTTATTCCCCAGCAATAAAACCTTTGAAATAGCGACAGAAAGGCTCTGGACACACATGTGCCCCTCTCTCTTGACCCTCTCTGCTCACACACTAACAGAACCGAGTGATGAGCCAGCTCCACTAAGCCTGATTAGCTGTCATAATTACATTAGAAAAGACATTCATGCAGCGTAGCAAGCCAATTATACAACGCTTATTCCTTCACCCCTCCAAATGACCTAATTACTTGCAAATAGCCATGGTACCATACATGAATTCGCTTTGCTTGTGATGTTGACAAATTGAATTATTAACCATAGCCTCACAGGCCGAGTTTGCATGGAAGAAGTCTGGGCAAATTTAAATGCAGTAAGAAATTGAAAAAAAACAACAAAAAGAAGTAGCTCATCTGTTGTTTTCCGGTGAGATTATAACCCCGCAGTCATTTGAACCGTTCTTAAACTTTACATTTATTAAGATTATCTCCGGAAACAGCGTCTCTCAGCATCCAGCAACAGGAGCCGCTTGGTCATGACGGTGTGAAGCTGTACGCTCCACCTCACCCATCTTTGCTGCAGTTCCCCGTAACAGCCGTGTTTGAGTCACAGTTTAAGACACTGTGGAGCCAAGTGTCAATGTTTTATTTTAAGAAGCAACGTATTTGTACTGGAAATAACACGTATTCTTGATTTGACCATCTCCAAAATGTATAACTAGCGTGTGCTAAATACATTTTAGTTGAGAAATTTCAAATCTTCATAAAGTATATGAGAAATGTATCAAGCTGATTAGTTGATCAACTGATCTAAGGCATATGAGATGAGTTGAATTAGAATCAGAAATAATTTCATCCTCAAGGGGTAGAAAAAAAAAATCACTTAATTGAAAGTTAGTGCTACCCAGGAGTTAAAATATTAGAAAATACAAATATAAGCACAAGTACTATAAAAAGTTTTAAAATAGACATAGCTAATTTAACAATCTTCTTATGAAATAATTTAAATTGACCTGATTCTCTCATAATCAGGACTTTGAGCAACAGCGTATGTATAGTTATGCCCAATACTATTCAGAAATCTGATGGATTGAAGTTGTGCTTATTCCTCATATGAAATGTGGATAGCAGCGTAAAAGGAGTACAAGTTTTGAAAAAAACAATTTGCCTTTGCTTGCATTTGAAAACAGCCTGATAAATATCATTAGACTCAAAGTAATCTGTGTGAAAATCGTTATGAGACGCGTTTTGCATCTTTTCATGCTCTTCTTGCCGTAACACTAATCTTTAGTTCCCTCTTCAGATTTTTTTTTTTTTCCCGTTTTCAAAGGTCTTTCCAGTGGCATGCTTAAAAATTTAAACTCCAAACTTCTTTATAGGTGCAGATCTGTGCGATCATTAAAAAAAAAAAAAATGCTGAAAACGGGTTAGTGTAACAGTGGCTTTATTCAGAGCTTTTTGTTTTAAAAGACACTGACAACAAATATCTCAAAGCTGGAATGTACACTAAGATAAACTGATAGGTCAGTATGCTGTGTTTTATTAAAGAGAAAGAGGAAAGTAATTAATACTTTACAGTGTTTGATACACAGTACAACAAAGTCAACATTACATGTTGCTGGAAATAAAAAAAAAAAAGGAGAAAATAAAACGAGACTTCACAGTGTCGCAATGTCTCAGGTCCTGTGTCAACACTGAGAAAACACTTCCTTCCTCCTTTGGGCCGAAGCTACTTTCTGTTAGATGACAGGAAAAAAAAAAAAAAAAAACTTTGCTGGTTTTAAAGCAGAAAAACAAAGCATGTGAAAACAAATTCACAAGAAACTGAGATAAGTGAGATCCAGAGTTTATAAGGAAGCTGCAAGACATTAATATATACTCACAGTGGTGTGGTTCTGCTGCAACATGGCATATAATGCAGCACAAAGCAGAGAGTTGCATAACTTCACCTCGCAAAAGCACAAAGACATAAATGCATCACGAGGAGAAGCTTCACCTAATAATGCAACATGAAATGAATAACTGAGGTCTACACCACAGGGGACCAGAAGGCAATCTGTTTTTTTTTTTTTTTTTTTTTTTTTTTTTTTGGCCCCAAACAAAAAAAAAATTTTTCATAAAGCTAAAAAACTTGTGGCCAAAAAAAAAAAAAAAAAAAAAAAAAAAAAAA